AAAAACTCTAAAATTTTTCCTCCATTTTCGGTTACAAAATTTGTCATTAATATTTTTTACTTCTCACATTAATACATCTTAATGAGTGTAATTATGTATGTTTCTATTATATTATATAATATTTATTGTTAATACCAACTAATAGTAATTCACAATAAATATAAATTACATAATTATAAGCAATTATTTCAAGTTATGTATTTTAACATCAATATTATCTTTTTCTTTTGTATCTCATAAAAATATTTCTTTAAAAACAATTTGTAAATTGTTTTATTAGCATAGTTAAACAATTTTAGAATCTTATAAACAATTGTATTTCAATATTATATATATATATATATATATATATATATATATAATTGCTAGCTTGGCATTTAATTTTACATATTTAATATAAAATCGTTAATTTATTTTTTTTAATGATCAAATTTTTGAAAGTGTAATATGTTAATTATCTAGAATTTTAATATTAAATTCTCAAATATTACTTACTAATATTTTATGTACATCTGTGCATGTGCACAGGATATCAATGAGATTACAAAATGACAATAAGGGTCATAAATTGTTACCTAAACTTTAGGAACACGCAACTTTAAGATACCAAATATCACTTAAAATATATATATATATATATATATATATATATATTTTATTTCCTGTTGGTGGAAACTCAATTGAAATAATTAAACAACGAAGTATTTTAATGTTTGCTTCAAAAAACCTTTTTCACCGTGTATAAGAATTATTTTTCAAAACTTCCAAAATTCTATTACATAATTCAAAGCGTCGTGTATAAGAATGTCATTTGCGTATTCGGATATCATAACTATCTCACACGCGACTATTATTTTCAAAAGGTGTAAAAAGGGTTTATAAATCAATATTTTACCACACTTCAAACACATTTTCCAATTCCATATTTTTTTTAGGGCATTCTTTTCTTCTAAATTTCAAAATGTTGCTCGAGTGGGACACTTTCAAGTTGGTCAGTCGTACTGAAAAACCTTATTTGAAAATAAGGGTTGTGCGCGTATCTAAATGCAAATTCCATGTCAAACACAAGAACGTGTTAAAAATTGTTTTCCATGACAAGGACGTAATTTTTTTTCACCTTAGTATCAATCTTTTGCATATATTCTTGTGTTTAAGATGCTATATTAAACTTCCGTTTTTAGTGATTTATTTCCCGTTATCATGTAGGGTTGGAGTATAGCTTATTAATAGGATTTTGAATTAATATTAAAATAATATATAAAATAAAATAATTAAAATTAATTTGATGTAAAGTATAAGAGAGATGATTTAAAGTGATGGTCAGTTACAATTATGTAAGTTGATGAATGATGAATTAAAATTAATTTGATATATAAGAATGATTAATTGATAATATTAAATTATATTGATAATATAGAGAACGGTGAGGTTGAGTTAAATTGAATTGAATTTTGAGTATGAGTTGAAATAATTTATAAGCAAACAGGCTTATTTTATTTTATTTTTTCTTTTCACAATGATAGATTTTATATCAAAATAAAAAACAAGCATACAAACTAGAGTCCAGCCATACAGCTAACTACAATAGCTACACAACCAATTACATCGCCGAATCTAGTAGGGAGAACTACCGAAAGGTAGCCTAGAACCTACCTACCACAACACACACACAAAAAAGCTCCCAAAAAAAGAATAACAAAAAAGCTCATAACAAGAGAATACACGGAACCCATTCTCAATGGGAGAAAAGAAAAGGAGAACAACATACACACAAACACAACAACCAACACCTAAAACGAAAACCAACACCTACACCACCCCTCCGCTGCCAACGGCCAAACCAAGTCGGCCAACGATGACTATAACGGACACCCATCCAAACGGACGAAGCTAAGGCCCAGGAATCCAAACAAGAAGCTGCCCAAATCGCCTAACTAGAGCGAACACGAGTGAACCCACACCACGTCCCAACGGATACCCGACACCCACACCTGGAGACCGACACCACAAAACAACCGAACACCCGGCCCAGACTCAAGTACATAGCCCACGACACAAGTTAGTATGCCAAACTCCTCCGCCCAACACCAGGAGAGTCACGGCGATAGGTGGCGAAACCTTCAACCTCGGACGTCCAAAAGTAAGAACGAGGCTGCAGCCTACCTAGGCCCTTCTGAACCGCCTAATCAATCTAGGGATGACTAACTTCACAACTGCATGAACCGCCTAGCCTACCAAGGAGGCGCATAATTTATCGAGCGCATAGCCTAGATAAAAATCGGGGTCTCGAGTGTCGCTGGCACCTAGCGCCTAACTGGATTTTTAGCACACTACTCAAAAGTCTACAAAATAATAATTACCAACTATAATAAGCTTTAGGCCTTCCAGATATGTATCTACTCTGTTTAAAGATACAGTAGATGTGCTTCACAAAAACACCTATCCTCTTCAGTTGGCTACATTTTTATCGACTAAACTAAGGCGGAAAGGCATCAAATAGGTTCCGATGCTTGTCATATGAAGACAAAATTTAAAGGCCGCGCAAAAATTTTGGTCTAAATATATATACCTTAATTTTCCAACTTACGCCTACTTGGATAGTAAAAATGTACAGCAGAGAGTTGGACTAAAGTTTCTGACATTCATCCTCGTTTCTTATGCAAATTGTGAACAATTTCAAGTGTAAAGCTTTGTCACAAAATATGCACCAAAACAAATCCTGACATCAGATACCCAATACTTATGAATAGCTTCCATCATAAAGATGAAGACTTGGCATAAGCCAGAACTACTTTTGAACTCAATAATTGGCAGGACATGTCCGACAGAAGGGATTGGTTGATGCTACACAGAGTATTATGTCTTAAAGAGCCTTCAAAATTAACCAAAGGCAATTGTTATGAGGTCATCATTGAGATATTCAACACTTGAAAGGCCCAAAAGGAAGCCTCATAACAGAAATACTCACCTGATCCAAGCATCATTTCTATTACATGTTCTTATCTGATCTCACTATGGATTTTCCAACTTTGCACGCCTAACCAAAAAAGGGTCATTATACCATGCAGCAGTATTATTTGGTTTTCCATGCTAGTTTCAACATTTGTTCATCATGTACATCAAGAATAGAAGTACCCAGAGGAAATCCACAAATTCGTCACCATCAAGCAAGGGTGACTAGTCAAGCAAAAATGAAAAGAGAAGAAAGAGAAAAGAAACAAAGAGAATCATCACTAACATATTCAGAAGCATCAGTTCGCTTGATCTCCCAAATATTTTTCACGGCTGAGCCGCATTGTTTAAACAGAGATTTACCTGTGAGAAAAGACCACGGAACTAACCAACCAACAAACCACGCAACTGAATCAGGATCGCCTTTAGAGAACCTCACCTAACCACACAATCTCAGAAGGATGGAATGAAGAAAACAGACGAGAGAGGAGAAAAAGGGGGAAAAAAAGAAAGAAAAAA